TTCTCTGATAATAAAGAGGGACACATTTTAGCACAAAATATGCAGGTAAAAGACACATTCATGCTACACCCTTAGTTTTTGAGGACCATGAAGAATTGAAATGCATTTAATAATCAATTACAGCTGAACTCCAGCAATGTTCTGTGTTGCATACTTACACTGGTCCATCTTAGCACAATGCAGTGTGCGTATTCAATACATGATGGGCCACTGGGGAAGCTGAAAGTCAGTGTAGTAGTCAGCTCTACTACAATGATTAAAAAAAAGATATACCTGTGCTAAAATCCCAATAGCTAGTACATGCATTTATCCATCAGGTGCTAAAGGGGTGTAACCACATAGTAACACTAGAAATTCTGAAGGACCCCCTGCACATTGGTATATACCCTTTCCAGCAGACTCTGCAATAAATAGGGATATATTTGATTCACACACATTGCAATACATGTTTAAGCTGGCCAACTACATCAAAGTAATCCCTCTATGGCCAGTCCTACTCTGCTCTGCCTACGCAAATGTTACTGTGGACACAATGCCAATATAGGGGAAAAGACAAAGTGGGGGAGAGCTACCAGGTTTAGGTCTGGCTACTGACCTACAATACAACAAACAAGATATACCTGTGCTCAAATCTCAATAGCTAGCACATGCATTTATCCATCAGGTGCTGCAGGGCCCTTCAGAATTTCTAGTGTTAATATGTGGTTACACCCCTTTAGCACCTGATGGATAAATGCATGTACTAGCCATTGAAATTGTTCTTGTGTTCATTGAGAAATTGATTAAAATCTTCTTACTTTTCAAACATGTTGTACTCATTTTATGCTGATCACTGTATATACAGTTGCAAGAAAAAGTATGTGAACCCCTTGGGATTACGTGGAGTTTTGCAGGAATTGGGCATAAAATGTGCTCTGAACGTCATCTAAGTCACAACAATAGAAGAACACAGTCTGCTGAACATAATACTACACAAACATTAGATGTTGCCATGGTTTAATTGCACATAACATGTAAACATTCACAGTGCAGGGAGGAAAAAGTATGTGAACCTTTGGACTTAATAACTGGTTGACCCTCCTTTGGCAGCAATAACCTCAACCAAATGTTTCATGTAGTTGAGGATCAGACCTGCACAACGATCTGGAGTAATTTTGGACCACTCCTCTTCACAAAACTGTTTCAGTGTAGCAATATTCTTGGGATGTCTGGTGTGAATCGCTCTCTTAAGGTCATGCCACAGCATTTTAATCGGGTTGAGGTCAGGACTTTGACTGGGCCACTCCAGAAGGCGTATTCTGTGCTGTTGCAGCCATTGTTTTGTTGAATTACTTGTATGCTTTGGGTCATTGTCCTGTTGCATCACCCATCCTCTGCGGAGCTTCAGTTGGCGGACAGATGGTCATACGTTTTCCTGCAAAATGTCTTGATAAACTCTGGAATTCATTTTCCCATCAATGACAACAATCCGTCCAGGCCCTGAGGCAGCAAAGCAGCCCCAAACCATGATGCACCCTCCGCCATGTTTTACAGTGGGGATGAGGTTTTGATGTTGGTGGGCTGTGCCTTTTTTTTCTCCACACATAGTGTTGTGTGTTCTTCCCAAACAACTCAATCTTGGTTTCATCTCTCCACAGTATATTTTGCCAGTAGTGCTGTGGAACATCCAGGTGCTCTTTTGCAAACTTCAAACGTGCTGCAATATTCTTTTTGGATGGCAATGGCTTCCTCCGTGGTGTCCTCCCATGTACTCCATTCTTTTTTAATGTTTTCCTTATTGTAGATGTGTCAACAAAAATGTTAGCATGTGCCAGAGATTTCTGTAGGTCTTCAGCTGACACTCTGGGATTCTTCTTTACCTCATGCAGCATTCTGCGCTGTGCTCTTGCAGTCATTTTTACAGGACGACCATGCCTAGGGAGAGTAGCAACAGTGCTAAACTTTCTCCATTTGTAGACAGTCTGTCTTACCGTGGACACATGAACATCAAGGTTTTGGAGATACTTTTGTAACCCTTTCCAGCTTCATGCAAGTCAACAATTCTTGATCGTAGGTCTTCTGAGAGCTCTTTTCTGCGAGGCATGGTTCACATCAGACAGTGCTTCTTGAAATCAGTAAACCCAAAACAGGTGTGTGTTTTTTAAGGGCAGGACAGCTGTCAGCAACACATCCAATATCATCACACTGATTGGAGTCAAGGTTGGCTCACTCCTGGCTCCAATTAGCTCTGGGAGAAGTCATTAAGCTAGGGCCTCACATACTTTTTCCTCCCTGCACTGTGAATGTTTACATGTTATGTGCAATTAAACCATGGCAACATCTAATGTTTGTGTAGTATTATGTTCAGCAGACTGTGTTCTTCTATTGTTGTGACTTAGATGACGTTCAGAGCACATTTTATGCCCAATTCATGCAAAACTCCACGTAATCCCAAGGGGTTTACATACTTTTTCTTGCAACTGTATATATATACAGTGGGGCAAAAAAGTATTTAGTCAGCCACCAATTGTGCAAGTTCTCCACTTAAAAAGATGAGAGAGGCCTGTAATTGGCATCATAGGTAGACCTCAACTATGAGAGACAAAATGAGAAAAAAAAATCCAGACAATCACATTGGCTGATTTGGAAAGAATTTATTTGCAAATTATGGTGGAAAATAAGTATTTGGTCAATATGAAAAGTTCATCTCAATACTTTGTTATGTATCCTTTGTTGGCAATGACAGAGGTCAAATGTTTCCTGTAAGTCTTCACAAGGTTGGCACACACTGTTGCTGGTATGTTGGCCCATTCCTCCATGCAGATCTCCTCTAGAGCAGTGATGTTTTGGGGCTGTCGCTGGGCAACACAGACTTTCAACTCCCTCCAAAGGTTTTCTATGGGGTTGAGCTCTGGAGACTGGCTAGGCCACTCCAGGACCTTGAAATGCTTCTTACGAAGCCACTTCTTCGTTGCCCAGGCGGTATGTTTGGGATCCTTGTCATGTTGGAAGACCCAGCCATGTTTCATCTTCAATGCCCTTGCTGATGGAAGGTGGTTTGCACTCAAAATCTCACGATACATGGCCCCATTCATTCTGTCCTGTACATGGATCAGTCGTCCTGGTCCCTTTGCGGAGAAACAGCCCCAAAGCATGATGTTGCCATCCCCATGCTTCACAGTAGGTATGGTGTTCTTTGGATGCAACTCAGCATTCTCTCTCCTCCAAACACGACGAGTTGTGTTTCTACCAAACAGTTCTATTTTGGTTTCATCTGACCATATGACATTCTCCCAATCCTCTTCTGAATCATCCAAATGCTCTCTAGCAAACTTCAGACGGGCCCGGACATGTACTGGCTTAAGCAGGGGGACACGTCTGGCACTGCAGGATCTGAGTCCCTGGGGCGTAGTGTGTTACTGATGGTAGCCTTTGTTACGTTGGTCCCAGTTCTCTGCAGGTCATTCACTAGGTCCCCCCGTGTGGTCCTGGGATTTTTGCTCACCGTTCTTGTGATCATTTTGACCCCACAGGGTGAGATCTTGCGTGGAGCCCCAGATCGAGGGAGATTATCAGTGGTCTTGTATGTCTTCCATTTTCTAATTATTGCTCCCACAGTTGATTTGTTCACACCAAGCTGCTTGCCTATTGCAGATTCAGTCTTCCCAGCCTGATGCAGGTCTACAATTTTGTTTCTGGTGTCCTTCAACAGCTCTTTGGTCTTCACCATAGTGGAGTTTGGAGTGTGACTGTTTGAGGTTGTGGACAGGTGTCTTTTATACTGATAACAAGTTCAAACAGGTGCCATTGATACAGGTAATGAGTACAGGACAGAGGAGCCTCTTAAAGAAGAAGGTACAGGTCTGTGAGAGCCAGAAATCTTGCTTGTTTGTAGGTGACCAAATACTTATTTTCCACCATAATTTGCAAATAAATTCTTTCCAAATCAGCCAATGTGATTGTCTGGATTTTTTTTCTCATTTTGTCTATAATAGTTGAGGTCTACCTATGATGCCAATTACAGGCCTCTCTCATCTTTTTAAGTGGGAGAACTTGCACAATTGGTGGATGACTAAATACTTTTTTGCCCCACTGTATATATATATATATATATATATATATATATATAATAGAGATGCTAATACTGAGTATTTTCACAAGTACTCGTACTCATGCATTGCTCCAATACCCGAAACCGATACAAAATGAATGGGCACACATCGCACTGCAAAGAATAGCATGCGGTTTGAACAGAAATTAGCACATTCACACGTTTGGCCTATACCACCAACCTTTTCCTTCCTTTACATTGGACATATGACAATGATTTTAATTCCTTTCAAGTGGATAATAAAATCCTTTTTTTTTTATTTTATTTTGGATAACATTGTCATCATCCTTGCTAATTTTAATACTTTACTGGTCACTATTAATTTGGCCCTATACCAATAGTGCTCAGCATTAGCTACTGTCCAAATTGCATGCAGTTTCCCCTCCTGTAAGAACCCAGGCTTGTCATAGCCTGAGTTTACACAGGAGCAGTGAGGGAAACCTCCTTGCACCGATCCAGTGCTGTCACACAATGAAAAGCCACTTCACAGGTTTGGGGATTTGAAATCCCCATGGCTTTCTCTCCTCTCCTTGCAGTGGGCAGGGAGGTTTTCCGCTCTGCTCCTGTGTAAACTCAGGTTATGACAAGCCTAGGTTCACACAGGAGCAGAGAGGAAATCGCATGTGATTTGGAGAGGAATTGCACCGCATTCCTGTTCAAATCACATGCTATTCTTTGCAGTGCGATTTGTGCACATTCATTTTGTATGACCAAAAATCGCACTGCAAATTACTGGTGCTTGGTATCGGCAAGTACTTGACTGAAAGTATCGATACTTGCCGATAAAAGAAGGGTATTGTTGCATCCCTAATGTACATTATATTGCCAAAGGTTTTGGGACACCCCTCCAAATTATTGGATTCAAGTGTTCCAATCACCTCCATGGCCACAAGTGTAAAAAATCAAGCACCTAGGCATGCAGACGTCTTCTACAAACATTTGTGAAAGAATGGGTCGCTCTCAGGAGCTCAGTGAGTTCAATCATGGTACCGTGATAGGTTGCCACCTGCGCAATAAGTCCATCCGTCAAATTCCTGCTACTAAATATTCCACAGTCAACTGTTATTGGTATTATAACAAAGTGGAAGCAACTGGGAACAACAGCCACTCAGCCACAAAGTGGTAGGCTACGTAAAATGACAGAGCGGGATCAGCACATGCTGAAGCGCACAGTGCGTAGAGGTTGCCAACTGTCTGCAGAGTCAATAGCTAAAGACCTCCAAACTTCATGTGTCCTTCAGATTAGCACAAAAACAGTGCATAGAGAGCTTCATGGAATGGGTTTCCATATCCGAGCAGCTGCTTCCAAGCCTTACATCACCAAGTGCAATGCAAAGCATCGGATGTAGTGGTGTAAAGCACACCGCCACTGGACTCTAGAGCAGTGGAGATGTGTTCTCTGGAGTGATGAATCACGCTTCTCTGTCTGGTAATCTGATGGACATGTCTGACTTTAGCAGTTGCCAGTAGAATGGTACTTGCCTGACCGCATTGTGCCAAGTGCAGTGGTGTAAAGCACGCCGCCACTGGACTCTAGAGCAGTGGAGACGTGTTCTCTGAAGTGATGAATCACACTTCTCTGTCTGGCATTCCGATGAACATGTCTGGCTTTAGCAGTTGCCAGTAGAACGGTACTTGCCTGACCGCATTGTGCCAAGTGTAAAGTTTGGTGGAGGGGGGATTATGGTGTGGGGTTGTTTTTCAGGGGTTGGGCTTGGCCCCTTAGTTCCAGTGAAGGGACTCTTAAGGCGTCAGCATACCAAGACATTTTGGACAATTTCATGTTCTCAACTTTGTGGGAACAGTTTGGGGATGGCCCCTTCCTGTTCCAACATGACTACACACCAGTGCACAGAACAAGGTCCATAAAGACATGGATGAGCGAGTTTGGGATGGAGGAACTTGACTGGCGTGCACAACCCCATAGAACACATTTGGAATGAATTAGAGCGGAGACTGCAAGCCAAGCCTTCTCATCTGACATCAGTACCTGACCTCACAAATGCATTTCTGGAAGAATGGTCAGACCTTCCCATAGACACCCTCCTAAACCTTGTGGACAGCCTTCCCAGAAGAGTTGAAGCTGTTATAGCTGCAAAGAGCGGGCCACCTCAATACTGAACCCTACGGACTAAGACTGGGATGCCATTAAAGTTCATGTGTGTGTAAACGCAGGCGTCCTAATACTATAGGCAATATAGTGTATAGATATTATTATATTAGGTTATGTGAGGTTGTCACGTGTGTCAAACAACAACATACGTCACCCTTCAATGTGCTCCTGGCTGCAAAGGCCAGGTATAGGTTGGGGCAGTTGCTATTTGTCGTCAAGTGTGCAGCTCATTAGCTTCTTCATTTAAAAAAAATAAAAATGAAAGAAGGGAAGGAGAGCAGTCGAAAGTGACATGCAGCCAGAGCAACTTTTCCTTTACTGCACTACCTGTGTCTGATCAGCAGGTGGCGCACAGAGAACTTGAATGATCTTCTCCGTCAGGCTCCTTTTATTGAGGTCATTTCCGGTGCGCCGGCTGGTGGTGCGGGGTCCGTGCTGTAGTTGGTGGCTGGGAAGTGACACATTGCCGGAGATGGTGAGATACAAACACATAGATCACTTTATATTGAGTGTGGGGTGTCAGTGAACAGAGCCACTCATACAATGCTTTATCCTCACTGCAGGCTGATGACATGCGAGCTGCTCTGAGAGTCTCACCTTACTACACTGGAGACTATCTACATCTCATTACTAGTAGTGGCTGCATGTCCTACGTTGTCACTCCTCTTCTGTCCCTCAGCTTTAAAACAGAATTAAACCCAAAAGCAAACCTTTTTTTTATATTGTGACTTGTATTAGATTTCTTTTTTAGGCTTGCTTCCTTTCTCTTTTCACCTGGTGATCCAGCCAGTAAGTCTGTTGTTTTTCAAAAGAACAAGCTCTCCTGCACAATGTATCAGTTTGCATGGATGAGACAGACTATTTACTACTGACAGAGCAGATTAAAATGATCAGCTTTTATTTATTCATACAAAACATTTATTCCAAAAGAGAAAAAAAAAAAACGCTGTTAGGCTGCTTTCGCACTGAAGAGTTTTTAAAGCGTTTTTTTAAAAAAAAAAAAAAAAGCAAAGCACCTAAAAAGCTCAAGAAAAATGCTTCCTTATGTATGGTTATGTATGCTTTCACGCTGGGGCGTTGTGCTTCCATTGTGGTCTGAAAACCCCTACTTGCAGCATGTTCAGCTAAAAAAAAAAAAAAAAACACCTCTTCCCATTGAAATAAATGGAAAACGCCTCTAAAAAGCATTTTTGGTGCAGTTTTTAAGTCTCTTGTCCTTAAAAAAATGCTCAGAAAGTGCGGCAAAAACGCATATGCATTTTTGCAGTGTTTTTGTGGTGGATCAGTGTGAGAGTAGCCTAACTGATTATAAAGCGAGGCAGCACAGTGGCTAAATGGTTAGCATTTCCACTTGGCAGCACTCGGGTCGTTGGTTTGAATCCCAACCACGGCACGTTCTCCCTGTGCCTGCGTGGGTTTCCTCCGGGTACTCCGCTTTCTTCCCACACTCCAAAGACATGCTGAGAGGTGAATTAGCTCCTGTCTAATTGGCCCTGGTATGTATGTATATGTATGAATGTGAGTTGGGGACTTTAGATAGTACGCCCCTTGAGGGTTAGGGACTGATGTGAATGTATAATATATATGTAAAGCGCTGTGTAAATTGACAGCACTATAGAAGTACCTGAAATAAATAAAATAAAAAATAAAGTGTGAGCTGGGGTTTGGCTTTTAGTTTGTTAGTGTATTTAAATCTGCTAATACAGCCAACACTCCCCTCCCTCCAGTCTGACAATGCTGTCTGCTGTGTCCCCCTGTGCTCCTTCATCCAGAGTGGGGTCAGTCTAATACAGGAGGTGTGTTACTGGCCAGATCACCAGGTGAAAACAGAGGAAAGAGCCAAAGAAAATGATTGCGGCCACCACATCTGATTGGTCAACTGCAATATAATACATTTTTGGGTTTATTACTGCTTTTAAAACTAAACTCCAGGAAATCTGACAATCCTTCCTTGCAGTGGGGCTGCACTCTCACTGCGAGGGTTAACTACTTATTTAGTCTAGGGGACACTAAAAGCAATGTTACGTACCTAATCCTCTGCTCCCCTGGTAGTCAGTGCATCTCCATGCTCAGGCAGTGGGGTCATCACCTTGGGTTCTGCATTGGTCTTGATGCTGTCAGGGAACCTTACACCTCTGGAGCAGGGGGGGGGGGGGGGGGGACTTTGCATGGATTGGTGGAGCAGAGGATCAGGTAAGTAAATCTACTTTCCTATGCCCCCTAGACCTAAGTGAGCAGTTAAAGAATAAGTATAGCCAAAGCTATTGTGGCTCCTGCTGCTGTCAGTCATATGATGTGAGGAGGAAGTGGGGCAGGGCTAAGCCCCGCTGTGTGAGTCTATGGAGCGCGACTCCATAGACACACAGCTCGGGAGTGAGCAAACACCATGTGCCTCCATAGAAAACAGTTTGCTATGGGTACATGCTGAGAAGAGGAGGAGCCAAGATTACTGGCAGGGGACATGAAGAGGAGGGTCAGGGACACTCTGTGCTGTACCATTGCACAGAGCAAGCGAATATAACATGTTTGTTATTTTAATAATTAAAAAAATAGCCTTTAGTTACACTTTAATAGGTGTTCTAATTTATCTCCACTATCCAAAACTAAAAAAAAAAACACAAAAAAAAAAAACGTTTTGCCTTTAGTTATACTTTGATACTTCGTTTATCATTGGGTGCTGAATTGGGATCTCACAGATTTTTGGATTCCTTGTACCCCTTTTTCTGCTGTGGTTCCATCCACTGGCAAGATGACACAGCAAGTAGGGGTTGGGTGGATGGAACCACATGGAGTGCAGGCAGCTGACACATCTGTGAAAATCCAGTGCTGCACTGAAATGAAAAATCTGGTGCCGAAACTGAAAATTCCAAATGCACTTGCAGGGATGCTGAATTCTCATTGCCCGACGCCCGGGACATGTTTTTTTTTTCCTCCTTTAGCCCTGCTGCGGGCAAGCAGTGGGCTCACCTGTCGAGTGAAGCAGTCAGCGGCAGCGCTGCCAGCGATTGCTTCATCCACTATGTGATGATAAAAAAAAAAAAAAAAGTGAAAACTTTTTTTTTAAATTTTTTTTAATTGTAAAAAATGAAAGTTACACCCTAGCACATACCATCCCCCCCAAAAAAAATATTGAGGCCCCCACATATACGCATATACAAACGTAAAAGCACACACTGGGGCGCATATGCATGAAACTGTCGATTGCGATACTCATGTCACATATCGCCGCGCACGCCAGGATGAGAACGATAATTCTTGCACCAGACCTCCTCCGTACACTATACTGGTGACCTATAAGGAGCTTTAAAAGTGTCGACCTATAGAAAATATAGGGTACCGAAGTTCGTCGCCATTTCACGAGCGTGCACAAATTTAAGGTTTGACAAGTTGGATATCTATTCATTCGCCGCATTCTCATCGATTATATTTTACAAAAAAATAGGGTAATTTATTGCTTTCTTGTGCCCTAAAATTAACTTCCTTGTATTTTTTACTAAACTTTTGCTGTAAAATCATGCGCCATAAAACATTGGAGCTTCCACTGTTTTATTCTCTAGTGCAGTGTTTTTCAACCTTTTTTGTGCAAAGGCACACTTTTTTCATGAAAAAAATCACGAGGCACACCACCATTAGAAAATGTTAAAAAAATTTACCTCTGTGCCTATATTGACTATATATAAAGTAATTCTCTTGAATAGGAATCAAACACAAAGAAATTATTTTATAATTACTTTATTATGAAATAATAAAGTATTTTATAATTGGACCCGGGGGCCGGACCAAGAGTAGATGAATGATGTGTATGTGTCATCCATAGTAAGTATAGTAATATTCCCCCATAGTAAGCATAGTAATTAATCCCCCATATAGTAATTCATCCCCCATAGTAATTAATCCCCCATATAGTAATTCATCCCCCATAGTAATTCATCCTCCATATAGTAATTCATCCCCCATAGTAATTCATCCCCCATAGTAATTAATCCCCCATATAGTAATTCATCCCCCATAGTAATTCATCCCCCATAGTAATTAATCCCCCATATAGTAATTCATCCCCCATAGTAATTAATCCCCCATATAGTAATTCATCCCCCATATAGTAATTCATCCCCCATAGTAATTCATCCCCCATATAGTAATTCATCCCCCATAGTGTAATTCATCCCCCATAGTGTAATTCATCCCCCATAGTAATTCATCCCCCATAGTAATTCATCCCCCATATAGTAATTCATCCCCCATATAGTAATTCATCCTCCATATAGTAATTCATCCCCCATAGTAATTCATCCCCCATATAGTAATTCATCCCCCATAGCAATTCATCCCCCGTATAGTATTTCATCCCTCGTATAGTATTTCATCCCCCGTATAGTATTTCATCCCCCGTATAGTATTTCATCCCCCATATAGTATTTCATCCCCCATATAGTATTTCATCCCTCATATAGTATTTCATCCCCCATATAGTAATTCATCCCTCATATAGTATTTCATCCCTCATATAGTATTTCATCCCCCCATATAGTATTTCATCCCTCATATAGTATTTCATCCCCCCATATAGTATTTCATCCCTCATATAGTATTTCATCCCTCATATAGTATTTCATCCCTCATATAGTAATTCATCCCTCATATAGTATTTCATCCCCCCATATAGTAATTCATCCCTCATATAGTATTTCATCCCCCCATATAGTATTTCATCCCCCCATATAGTATTTCATCCCTCATATAGTAATTCATCCCTCATATAGTATTTCATCCCCCCATATAGTATTTCATCCCCCCATATAGTATTTCATCCCCCCATATAGTATTTCATCCCTCATATAGTAATTCATCCCTCATATAGTATTTCATCCCTCATATAGTATTTCATCCCTCATATAGTATTTCATCCCCCATATAGTATTTCATCCCCCCATATAGTATTTCATCCCCTCATATAGTATTTCATCCCTCATATAGTATTTCATCCCCCCATATAGTATTTCATCCCTCATACAGTAATTCATCCCTCATATAGTAATTCATCCCCCATATAGTATTTCATCCCTCATATAGTATTTCATCCCCCCATATAGTATTTCATCCCTCATATAGTAATTCATCCCCCCATATAGTATTTCATCCCCCCATATAGTATTTCATCCCCCCATATAGTATTTCATCCCTCATATAGTAATTCATCCCTGATATAGTAATTCATCCCCCATATAGTATTTCATCCCCCCATATAGTATTTCATCCCTCATAAAGTAATTCATCCCTCATATAGTATTTCATCCCCCACAGTACTATTCCCCCCCCCCCCCTTCTAGTAAGCCAAGTCCCCCGTGTCAATTCACTTACCTTTTGCGTTCCTCTCGCTGTCTTCCCGCGCCGTTCGGGTCTTCAGGGCGGACTGTGAGAGGAGCCTAGCTCCCCTCCCCTCACGTTCGGCACGCTGCCCCGCCTACACACATCCTGACAGCCACATCCGCAAGCCGGATTAAAAGGTCCGCGCGGACTTTTGGGGCTGCCAACCGAGAGGAGGCAGGGGAGCGGGCCGACCGAGAGGAGGGAGGGGAGCAGGCGCCCGGCACACAGAAGAGCCGCATTAGACTGGGTAAAGAGCCGCATGTGGCTCGCGAGCCGCGGCTTGCCGACCACTGAATCATTAGATTCTAATGATTGGTCTATTTGTGAGCCGAAGCCACATGTTACAGATGAAATTGGAATTTTTCCCACGGCACACCAGACAATATCTCACGGCACACTAGTGTGCCGCGGCACAGTGGTTGAAAAACGCTGCTCTAGTGTGTCGGCTTTTCAGAAAATATATAATGTTTGGGAGTTTTATGTAATCTTCAGGCTTAAAATGATTTTTTAAACCTGTGCAAAAAACGCAAAAAAATGGCTCTGGCAGTGAAAGGGATAAAGTATAATCCCTGACCCCCTCCCCTTTCCTGATGAGCAGCCAATCGGTGCTCATTATACTGCAAGGTCTCTCTGCTCCCTGCTAGTCCCCGGTTGCGGTGCTGGAGACAGGCAGGGAGAAGAGGAGATAGACAGCGCAATGTTAAAAATATTACATGTTTAAGTTGCAATAAAGCCTCTTTTTGTTTTTAAAAGCCCCAGACATTCCTAATATCACATCCGATTTAAATATGGTTTTGGTTAAAAAATATTTTTTTTGTCAGGACAAGTAGATTGTCATGAGGAACAAGTAGATTGGGGCCCCAATTTAATCCCTGGACAAGTCACCCGATTTAGTCCCTGGAAGTCACTAGGCGGTGTTTTTCCTTTGAAGTGAATTGAGACTTGACTTTGCAGTCTATACAATGCAATTTTGCGTTAAAGTCACTAGAGGGCATTTTTGCATGAAAGTCTGAGATGCAACTTTGCATTGGCACCATTATTGGCACCTTTTTTCCTATCCACAAAATGCCGATAACACTATTTTCAGACACCGTTATAATCCTTAGCTGCAGCCAGGCTAGAGGAAAACCAGTGCTGCAGCCAGGCTGGAGGAAAACCAGTGCTGCAGCCAGGCTGGAGGAAAACCAGTGCTGCAGCCAGGCTGGAGGAAAACCAGTGCTGCAGCCAGGCTGGAGGAAAACCAGTGCTGCAGCCAGGCTGGAGGAAAACCAGTGCTGCAGCCAGGCTGGAGGAAAACCAGTGCTGCAGCCAGGCTGGAGGAAAACCAGTGCTGCAGCCAGGCTGGAGGAAATCCAGTGCTGCAGCCAGGCTGGAGGAAATCCAGTGCTGCAGCCAGGCTGGAGGAAATCCAGTGCTGCAGCCAGGCTGGAGGAAATCCAGTGCTGCAGCCAGGCTGGAGGAAATCCAGTGCTGCAGCCAGGCTGGAGGAAATCCAGGGCTGCAGCCAGGCTGGAGGAAATCCAGGGCTGCAGCCAGGCTGGAGGAAATCCAGGGCTGCAGCCAGGCTGGAGGAAATCCAGGGCTGCAGCCAGGCTGGAGGAAATCCAGGGCTGCAGCCAGGCTGGAGGAAATCCAGGGCTGCAGCCAGGCTGGAGGAAATCCAGGGCTGCAGCCAGGCTGGAGGAAATCCAGGGCTGCAGCCAGGCTGGAGGAAATCCAGGGCTGCAGCCAGGCTGGAGGAAATCCAGGGCTGCAGCCAGGCTGGAGGAAATCCAGGGCTGCAGCCAGGCTGGAGGAAATCCAGGGCTGCAGCCAGGCTGGAGGAAATCCAGGGCTGCAGCCAGGCTGGAGGAAATCCAGGGCTGCAGCCAGGCTGGAGGAAATCCAGGGCTGCAGCCAGGCTGGAGGAAATCCAGGGCTGCAGCCAGGCTGGAGGAAATCCAGGGCTGCAGCCAGGCTGGAGGAAATCCAGGGCTGCAGCCAGGCTAGAGGAAATCCAGGGCTGCAGCCAGGCTAGAGGAAATCCAGGGCTGCAGCCAGGCTAGAGGAAAACCAGGGCTGCAGCCAGGCTAGAGGAAAACCAGGGCTGCAGCCAGGCTTGAGGAAATCCAGTGCTGCAACCCCCATCAGGCTTTTCAGCAGTTGACCCCTGTGCATGCTTTAGTTCTATCCTCTGACCCCTAGATCATTACAGGACATAACACAGACATAGGTGTCTGAGAAGCTCACAGTGTGTAGTAAGCAATTTCAGTGCAGGAGAGGATCCCAAACAACTGCACAATAGCTTTACCAGTCAGATCCTTCATGAGTGGTCATATACTGCATGCACCAGAACTTGATGTAACCAAATTTACAGTCATAAGAATTACATTTTGTAACATAAAATTATCTTCTGTTTCCTCTTTTAACAGGCTCGCAATGCGGAGAAGGCTATGTAAGTTTTGATCAAATCTAATATACATGTATTTTTTTTTTAAAGTGCAGATTATTTTTAGCATGTCAGTCAGTAATCTTAGCCTGCATTCATGCTTCAGCGATTTGTAGCTCGAAGCTCCAAAAACGCTTGAGTGTTTTTAGAGCTTCGAACGCCAAGCTACAAATCGCTCAAGTTTGAATGCAGCCTTAGGGTTTATTCATACCAGCCAGATAACTGCAGTACCAATTATGATGCAATGCACTGTTCACTTTTTTTTTTTTTTAATTATTGAAATGTCACATAGTGACATTTTATTAGGTTCTGTTAACCACTGCATGGTGCAAGGTATTGGATTGCCTCATGCTGCACAGGGAAAAAAAAAGTACTGACCACCATACTTTTTTTTTTCAGTGCACAAAGCACGCCACTGCAATGTTGTGGTGTGTACCGGGCACATAGGAGACAAGGCATTTCTCCTTGAATTGCAGTGGGACTACACTGGAGTAGCTGCCCAATGCATTACTATCACACCTGGTGTGAATGGGCCCTTAGGGCAAGTGAACTGGGACATACAGTATTGTGTTCAGATCAGTAATATATAAAGGTGTGAGTGCAGCCATGTTGTATGCTGTGGGCTGATTCACACACTTCCTATTTTATCCATAGCAGTTAGCTTTGTAAACCAACACTATAAACATGACACATGTAAACGTCTGTGCTAAAGTTACTTGCAAACATAAATGAACCCTGGTTGCACTGTTGCCTATTGAATTCAGGGCCAGTATGCAAATATCAGCAATGTGTAGGCAGCAGTGCAATGCAGGTAGGATATGACCCTGGCTACCTTTTTATGTATTTGCTAGCTCTCAGCTGAATGTCTGCTTCATTCGCCATTCATTTGTCCGCCTTTCCTGTGAGGGTGGAATTACAGTATAACAGAATTCCTGTGCTTTCTCTTTATAGATTGTCCATTTTGTCTTGTTTTATCACACTTACCCAACCCATAGCCATGAACTCAACCATAGCTACTGCAGTCTTCAGCTGGCTACAAATATTACAGTGTGTACAATCCCCTATAGACATACCAAGGACTGTATAAAATGTAAGGGCTTACCTGTTCGGGAATAAGTTGCACAAATTGGTCAGGTTGTCTTTCTACATTGTTGGTAAGTCTAAGGGACATATATATTTTTTTTTTTCTTTCAGGACAGCTTTGGCGAGATTTCGCCAGGCTCAACTTGAAGAAGGCAAAGTCAAGGTAAGATGTTTATGGAAGGGTTTTGAGCTGAGTTTGTTGGTGGTGAGAGTGTTTAGTTCTCCCTGGAACCATCTATATTTTGTTATATCTACCATCTTGCAGAAAATAGATTTAGGCACTTTTTTAATCTTTATTTTTACCTGGTAATTCAGCCAGTAACACACTTCCTGTTTTAGGGGGGTCTCCACTCTGGATGGAGGAGCAACAGAGACACCTTCTTTGGACAGCAGCATTGTTAATCTGGAGAGAGGGTATTAATAGATGCGCTGTTAAATTTAGATTGACTAGACTAACAAATTAAAGCTAAACTCCAGCTTACATTTTTTAAAGCCGAACTAGGCCCTCATAAAAAGCAAAACTGGAGGTAATTAAGGCCAATTGTGAGTTGGGGTACAGAGACTGGTAGCTGTGTAGCAGGTGATATGCTTGACGCTGCTGCCTCCTCCGCTCCCCACCTCTTATTAGTTATTAAAGCGGAGCTAAACCCTCCATTCCTTTACAGCCAAGGAAGCTGCCATCTTATCCTCCGTTTGATCTGCAGTTGTCATAGTGCTGCACGTGATCAGGCATGACACTGGATTTGCTGGATTGACCATATGATTGAGAGCACAAAGAACTGTGGAAGTTCTCATTCACAGCAAGCCTTGAATGTAATAGTTTTGGAAAACCGGTAAATCATTGGGTTTAGTTCCACTTACGGAAGATAAAGCAAAATTTTGCCACCTTTGCTGGACAGCTTAGTCTGTTAAAGGAAGTCGAGAAATAACAAACGTACTGGCCGAATCAACAGGTGAAATAAAATGGAAACAAGTGTAGCCACCACAGCTCAAAATTGAAAAGTTATTTCTATTACATTTTTGCTTGCGACTTTAATACTTTAACTAGTTTACACCAGATTGCTTTCACAGGCCCCCAGTTGTGCACCCCCTTTGCTTCAGTGAAGGTCAGGTGAGACAGAGGTCTAAAAGACCCCTGACGTCTCATTAAATAGAACCTGTCACAACATTATATCACATAGAGGACTGTTGGTCCCCTATGGTATTAATAATAAAGTACTTAAAGAGACATTTGGGAATTTTTTTTTTTTTTTATTATACTTACGTAGGTGGATGCAGCTTCGAGCCAATGCTGCATCTGTCCCCTGTCGATTCTAAGGGTGAGAACTGAGTGATCAGAACCACTGATCGCTCAGTTCTCCCTGCCAATCTGAGCAGAGAGCCGGGACTGTCAGTCCCCTTCTGTCTGCTCTGCACCCTCCCCCGCGCTCAATAGAGCACTGGGCTGTGGGCGCAGAAAGTCTGGCACAGGCTCTCAGCAGCTCGCTGAGCCAGGTGCCAGCCCAGGCTCCTGGGTGGATCCAGACCATAAGGTTGGGATCTTTCCCCAGCCTGGACCCGGCTGAGTGACAACAGCAGACTTCAACATGTTCTTTGCTGATAACTGGTCACAGGAGTGCAGATTAAACTGCACTCCTGCGATCCACAGGTGAAGTACAGTCAAACAAGCTTTGGCTGTACTTCTCCTTTAAAAAAGACCCTCCAAAAAATTTGAGCCCTGCCCCACCCCTATGTACACTCACACACGCAGGTACATATGTAAATGTCCAGGGTGCCTACATATGAAAACGTCACTTGCTCTACACTTGTTGCATATCACCGCTCACATCAGAGTGAGATTAGTTCTAGGCCCGTTATTCACGGTTTGCTCTAATGATGACCTGTAGGGGCTTTTAAAGGAGAAGTATGGCCAAAGCTCTTTTGACCCTGCTTCTATAGGTCACAGGTGCACTTCTTTCTGCACTCTTCTGACCTGTTTTCAGCCGGTCCAGGTTCAGGAAAGATCCTGAATTAACTTTAGTGTGTGTTTTACTGAAAATTTGAGCTTGAGAAACTACTGTGCTGATATTGTGTGACATAAAAAATTGGAAAGAATAAAATTTTACTCTACAGTGTCTCTGGTTTCAGAAAATATTGTTTTGGGAATTCTAACTAATTTTCAGGCCTAAAATTATTTTTTTTTTAAACGTGTGAAAAAAACACAACTATGGCAGTGGCAGGCTCACTCAAAAAAGCAATATAGGTATCCCATCTGTGATTTGATGATCCCTAAATAACTTTCTTGTTACCTGACTTTTGCTCTATTTTCCTCAGGAACGAAGGCCATTTCTTGCTTCTGAATGTAATGAACTGCCAAAAGCGGAGAAATGGAGAAGACAGGTAACATTTAAAATGAATAGAGTTTTTATTTAACACAGGTACTTGTATATAGCGCCATCAATTTGTGCAGTGCTTTACATATTTTCTATGCATTCACATCAGTACTGCCCTCAGGGAGCTTACAATCTAAAGTCCCTAACTCACATTTTATACTAGGGCCAATTTAGACAGGAACTAATTAACCTACGTGCATGTCTTTGGAGTGTGGGAGGAAACAAGTGTACTTGGAGGAAACCCACACAGGCACAGGGAGAACATACATTTTTAGTGTTTTGTTGTTTTTTTTTAAATATACACACGATCAGCCTTAACATTATAACCACCAACCATTACCCATTGAGGCATGGACTCCACTGGACCTCTCAAGGTATGCTGTAGTATCTGGCACCAAGCCATCATTATCTGATCCTTTAAGATCTACCGATCAACTTCTGTACAGCCAGCCTGTCTGGTTTTTCCCAATCGATCAGTTCCATCGGCTATTGCCGACAACACTGATCATTGTATTCTGACAACAGAAAAGGCTGCCCGAACATGATAGCACAGCGGGAGGATTCCCCCATCCACATAGAGTGTGTGAATGGGGGAATTGGATCATTTTTTTTTTTTTTCATTCAACCCACTGGTTGAATGAAAAAAAAAAAAGATGAATGTATGGACTTTAGAATTGTGCATTGTTGGACTTCAGGCAAGGCTTGAGAAACTGCTTCTTTTTTATAGAGGTTTTTTAAAGAGGTTAACTAAGTTTTTGGGTTTTTTTGTTTTTGTTTTTTTATGCTATTATATGTATAATTTTGTTTTGCATTTCTGGCCATTTAGGCTGACATGAATTATGAACATCTATAATGATTTTTATGAAAGTTGTCTTGAAACTATAAAAATGTTTATCTTTTTGGCAACAGATTATTGGTGAAATCTCAAAGAAAGTAGCACAAATTCAAAATGGTAAGTTTGATTTTGTTAAAACCACAACTAAAGTAACTGTAAAATAACCTTGCAGGAATAAAGCCAAAATCAAGTAAAGTAACAGCTGTTGCTAAACTGATTTATATTCCCTGGTGAAATAATATTCCTTGTTTGCCCACAGAAGTTTTGTGACTGTAATTATCAAGGTGAAGTTATGACTTTTCAGTAGAATTTTGGTAATGTTTGGCCTTTTGAAAGCTGTTTTTTGCCGTCTGTGTACTTTGCATGTAGAACGGTCTAACCCATTCTGATTTTTAAAAGAAAAAATTAAACTGCAAAACCAGACTGCTTCCCTCTTATACGTAAGAAAAAAAACTATACTTACCCTTTTCCTTGCAGTCTTTAGGCTGGTGCAGTAATGTCATGGTGCCTTGCTCCTCCTTATTGCTGGTGGGCGGTCCTTCCACCCTAATTTTGTGGCCCTTATGTAATTACATTTGAGCCTGGGTTCATAAGAATTGGGTAAAATGATGCAGACCATCTTCTATCCCAGAAGAAACTGTCAGAAATGGATGGTAATAAGATTTGGGGAACAGCACTGGAGTGTCAAGATGGTGAGTAGTGTTTTGTCACATTTTTTTAATATGGGAGGTTGCTATCATTTTAAAAATATGTATGCTGGAGTTTTGCTTTTAAGAAAAATGTGATGTTAAAAATTTTTAATTATTTCAACTTAAAAGGGTTAGCTTCTAGTTTTTTCGGTACAAGGTAATTAGTAGATAAAACAGCTCAGTGATCAAAAGGTTATGTCTCAGACACCAGCAATAACTTAGGCTGGCCATACATGAGTCTTTTTTAGCTCAACCAAAGGAAAGTGATTTAATTCAGCAGTTCACGGGTGCAATGTCACGCCCCTGCAGACTCAGTGTAGTTCTCTGCCCATATTTCTGATTGTGGCACGGAGTTACTGATTGACAGGAAGATCAGTGAACTACAAAGATTCTCACCAGCAGCCGCAAAGGGGACGCCTGCCTTTACATGCATATGAACTTTAATGCATCCCAGTCTTAGTCCGCAGGGTTCAATATTGAGGTGGCCCACTCTTTGCAGCTATAACAGCATCAACTCTCACGGGAAGGCTGTCCACAAGGTTTAGGAGTGTGTCTATGGGAAGGTTTGACCATTCTTCCAGAAGCACATTTGTGAGGTCAGGCACTGATGTCGGATGAGAAGGCCTGGCTCACAGTCTCTGCTCTGATTCATCCCAAAGGTGTTCTATCAGGTTGGGGTCAGGCAGGCCACAAGTTCCTCCACCCCAAACCTGCTCATCGATGTCTTTATGGACCTTGTTTTGTGTACTGGTGCGCAGTCATGTTGGAACAGGAAGGGGCCATCCCCAAACTGATCCCACAAAGTTGGGAGCATGAAATTGTCCAAAACGTCTTGGTATGATGACACCTTAAGAGTTCCTTTGACTGGAGCTAAGGGGCCAAGCCCAACCCCTGAAAAACAACCCCACACCATAATCCCCTCTCCACCAAACATTACACTTGGCACAATGCAGTCAGGCAAGTACCGTTCTCCTGGCAACTGTCAGACAGAGAATCGTGATTTGTCACTCCAGAGAACATGTCTCCACTGCTCTAGAGTCCAGTGGCGGTGTGCTTTACACCAAGGCTTGGATGCAGCTGCTCGGCCATGGAAACCCATTCCATGAAGCTCTATATGCACTGTTGTTGTGCTAATCTGAAGGCCACGCAAAGTTGATTTTTTTATATGTTCAAAAAAATCTGAAGAATATATTTAAAAAAAATATATTTTTAAATATATATATTTTTTTAAATATATTATTCAGATGTTTTTTAACATATAAAAAAGTAATTTTAACATATATGTTTACATATATTTGTAAATGCATTCCAAAAATGTAGATTTGTATTTTTAAAGACATACAGTTTATTTTGTAATAAAAACGCATTTCAACATGCAGTGTGTGTATGTGTGTATATTATTATACAGTATATATATTTTGAATATGGCCAAAATTGTAGCATTTCAAATTCGTGAGTATATTTGGGGAGAATATTTTTAAAATATATTTCAAATATATTTTTCCTCCATATGGGATAAACGCTATATAATGGTGTGAACTGTAATTTTGATCCTTAATTAGTGGGGCATTAATAGTGTTTGATAGCACCACCAGCATCTATTGTGTTACGGACTGATGTGTTGCTGTGGTGGTGTTTTTCGTCTACAAGATGGCGTCTGTTGAGGTACTGAGCGTGTGCGTGTGTGTGTGGGGGGGGGGGGGCATTTTAATGGCCATCTCTTTATATAGAGGTGAAACAAATGATAGGTGCCATTTTGCCACCATGTGCAGCTAAGCACAACTTCCAGCCACTATGTGACCTATTTTAATTCTTTATCTCCTGATGAAGCTCTGTTTTCTGAAGTGAAATGCACATGGTATTCACTCCTCTCCCCTCTTTTTTTTTGCAGAGGGTTGTACTGTGTTTTACAGTGCATCATTTGCATTCCTCAAGACAGTGAGGTATTTTTGAGTGGATATGGTGACGTATGGGGCTTATCCATGAGGGGCTGACATTTAAGGCCGTGGATGAGTGTACCGTATTACATATCTGTAGCAAGATAGATTATACAATCTAATTAGTTTTGTCCATGGGGTAACTACATTTCCTCAACAGAGATTATATATTCAAGCTGGGTATGCTTATAATCAAACTACAGTGCCTCTTTGTATGCCGTCACTTCATCTAAAACTGTATGGTATTTGATTTGGTCTGGTGTTATTAACCATTTGGATGTAAGGTAAATAATTGCAATGGTATCCAGTCATATTGTTGTGTGCAGTTCATTCCACTCCAATAGGCATTAATTACAGCTGAGCATCCATTTTTTGTATATTGCAATAAAGGTTATATATTTTAGATTCATTAATTGGCTAGATGGTGCGTAGGAAAACGTACCCTCGTCCAGTATAGATATATTACATAAGGGGCCTGGAACTTGTTTAACAGAACCTATGTTAACTGACCCCCACAGCTGGCTCAACTTCCATATACTATTCTCTGGTGACATGGATGATTGCAGGAGGAACTACTGAGCATTGTGGGGGACACAGAAAATCAACACTTTTTGAAGTGATAGTTTCAGAAGTAACCTCACGAGGTTACTCAGTAGAGTAGATTTTGGCAGTGCAAGCAGGAGGTAAGGTATTTTAAAAAAGTATTCAATATTTTTCTATACAAAAACAGTTCTATTTTGTGATTGGTGACAAAATTACTTTAAAGGTAGACACCAGGTATGTAATTAAAATACGTATTGCAATTTGACCTGCCAGAAAGCACACCTGCCTCACTACACAGCCATGCTGTTTGCTGCCAGCAACCTATAATACACCATCTGGCCAAGGACCTACCCAAGCCTGGGATAGATTGTGAAGAAGCAATAGCACATCTATGAGGATTTTGCCTTCTTTAAATATGTTTACTGTGTAAGACTGGCGAAATGTTACAATCTAATTTCTTTAAGGCTTACCATACATGTTACAATCTGACCATACAGTTTTTTTTATATCAACTTTATATTTACCAAAACTGTATAATATGTGGATCTGCCCAAACTATTCAGTCAATTTGTATCTAATCAAGTATGCATTTGCACTACATGCTTATAGTTAGATCTAAAAGAGATTGTATAGTCAGATTGCAACCTGGATGGTGATCCTAAAATTTTGCATCAACTCTGTTATTTTATAAATGATATGGATTGTTTAGGCAGTCCCACACAATATGGATTTCATGGTGAATTTTAATGTCTTTTACAGTTCTTCTTTGCAAGGAATTACAGGCTGATATTAAAGTGTCACTAAACCCACATCATAAAAAAACTATCAAATGCTGCATTACATGCTGCTCATACTCACTCAGTCACTATGAGATTCATTTTTTGTATTCTGCAAAAAACCCAGTTGATCCTGCTGCTCTCTATCTCCACCTTCTGTTCATGTCCCCAATTCAGCTAGGGATTTTGCAGCTGTAGAAGTAACTCTGCACATGCTCAGTTTTCAGTGAGTTTAGCCGATCAACCCGTGCAGGCCAATGGATGAGCGCTGGCACCCGTTGATCATCGAGGAGACTGATAGAACACAGCTCTGCTTATGTAAACGAGGCAGACCTGTGTTCTGTCAGCAGCGATCTACTAGATTTTATTCAGGGAATGAAATCTAGCAGATTGCCTATTAAAAACAGCACACACAGTACACAAAAACACTGACTTAGGGACACAATTAACCCTTTGCTTTCCTTAGATGTTTAACCTCTTCCCTGTCAGTGTCATTAATACAGTGACAGTGTATATTTTTAGCACTGATCACTGTATTAGTGTCACTGGTTCCCACAAAGTGTCAGTGTCAGACTGTCTGCCGCAATATCGCAGTCGCCAGTAGCCGCTATTACTAGTATAAAATTAGATTTTTTTTTACATTTTTATTGGATATGCTTTATAGCAGAAAGTAAAAAAAATATTTTTTTTAAATGTTGGTGTTTTTTCGTTTATAGCGCAAAAAATAAAAAACCCAGCGGTGATCAAATAACTTCAAAAGAAAGTTCTATTTGCGGGGGAAAAAAATGACATAAACTTCATTTATATACAGAGTTGAATGACTGCGCAATTGTCAGTTAAAGTAACGCAGCACTGTATCTCAAAAAAAAAAAAAAATCGCCTGGTCATGAAGGGGGGGGGGGGGGTTAAATCTTCTGGAGGTCAAGTGGTTAAAATTGATATTTTATTGATAAAATTTATTTTTCATTCTGTATTCCAAAGGCTGTTTTTTTTATTTTGAACATGTGACCAGCAGCAGAGGACTAGATGCTCCTCCTGCCATTGTTTCCCTGCAGACAGACTGGGAAAGATCTAGGAGATGTAACAGCTGTATATAGATTAGGAAACAGGTACTTAGATTTAAATTTTTTTTTTTATTAAAATAATTACAATGCGATCATCCATATACAGAAATAGAAGGGACAATGTAAATGAAACCGTGTGTTTTAGTATCCCTTTAAAATAGATTGGTGGCACCTGAGGAAGGACAAAATTATGCCTAAAACATTTTGAAGTATACATTTGAACCTGTGAATGTGTGATAAATGGGATAATTTTGTTTCTAGCCTCTGAACATCCGACAAGTGCCTGCATTCAGTTGTATCTATTGGATGTGTGTATGTGTGTGTATATATGTATGTGTGTGTATATATGTGTATATATATATATATATATATATATATATATATATTTATATATTCTGCTATTGCTGGCTATCTTTTTTTATTTTCTAGTTTTGGTGGAGGAGGACCATTAGGGTGGTGCAAGTGCATGCTGGAAGAAAACGCCATATTTCCTAAACAATTATGTAACTATAATCCGAGGGCTAGTGTTTTGCCGTTGTCAACTCCTAAGGTTCTAATCATTGTTCTTTTTGCAAAAGTTGGAGAATTATGCCCCGGTTCAGATTTACTGTATTTAATATTGCTGTCTTTGGTCTGATTGGTCCTATTGTCTCACTGTTAAATTTGTCTTTATTTTCAGCTGGCCTTGGGGAGTTTAGGATTCGAGATTTAAATGATGAAATAAATAAGTTAATCCGAGAGAAGGGACATTGGGAGGTCCGCATTAAAGAACTGGGGGGTCCTGATTATGCAGTAAGTTAAGTCTTGTTTGATCTATGGCGTATTCTGTAGCATTAATGTACTTTATTTCTTGGGCATGGCATGACCTTCTGTTGCTCAATGGGTTCTTTAAAGTGAATGTCTTTTTTACATGCAGACTTATCCAGTCCCTTCTTCAACATCTTATATACTACTTTTAAAAAGTTGCCAGATATTTTTGTTAAGCTCTAACTGAGCCCAATGGCTAATGTATGTTGCTTCTGTGTTTTGAACACCTTTTATATGCTGCTGGGGAAGTAGCATTCAGTTTTAAGGTTGATGATAACAATAATAGTCTTGAAAACTTTTTTTATAAATTATCTTGTACCTTGTGGTTTAATTAGCCTAACAATGTCTACATTTCATTACTTTTGAGTGCTCTTTACTTATGTGCTAAAAAAAATTGAAAACTGCCCCCTCCATGTGATTTCAGCGTATAGGTCCCAAAATGTTGGACCATGAAGGGAAAGAGGTCCCAGGAAATCGTGGTTACAAGTATTTTGGAGCAGCCAAAGATTTGCCAGGCGTGCGTGAGCTGTTTGAAAAAGAGCGTAAGTATTTTCTGACTTATGGGTTTCACCTCTTTGTTTGATGACAATATTTTTGCATGCAGAAAGCAGATAAATCATACTATGTCATTATAAACCTTGAATCAAATGACTTCCATGGTGTTGTGCTTTAAACCCTAAGGAGTGGTGCCATGTTTTAAACCCTAACTCCATGAAAAAAAAAAATCCAGCTTTACAGTAGGACCCTCACTGCACTGCAGGGGTAATTGCACGTTATGTATGGATTGCAGAACAGGCTTTATAACTTACCTGCTTTTTCACTCCACCTGGCTCCAGTGCTGTCCTCTTTTGCCTGAAGCTCCTGTCAATGGGTGGAGCCTCAGAATTATGCACAATACAGGAACATTAACCCTGTATTGTGTGTTTAGGAGGCTGGACTGCGACCGAAGCTGGGTTCAGACTACAGAGCAGGTGTAAGGAGCCTGCTGGAGTAAGGCATGTGTCTTTTCCTTAATCCTCTGCCCTAGATTAAAGCTGGGTATAGATGGATCAAAATTCGGTCCATTGACTTCAGTACAGTCACTTGGTTTGTCTACTCCTACTGTCAGAATACAAAGCTCTATGGGAAGGCTTCCCCCCCCTCAACTGACGGTGACCAGCTCTCTGCTTACTGAAGACTTAGAACCGAGTAATCAGCAGGCTGTAATCGCTCAGTTCTCAGTCTTAGAAGCAGCAGGGAATAGATGACGCATTGGATTGAGGCATTGCATTCACTTAGGTGAGTATACTTTTTTTTTTTTTTTCTTTTTTAAGAACCTCATACTTCTTTTATTAAATGCAGCAGAACATCCTTTTGACCTTTTATAATGTAGAACACCAGATTGCTACATTATCATGCTTTTTTTCTACATTAGGCAGTGCTCTATTTATTCATACTATCGCTAGCCTACAACACAGTGCTATTTGTTTATTCTTAGGCAGCATTAACCTACATGGAATTGAATTATTGTAATATAATTTTTTTTAATATGGTTAAAAACAATCAGTTTACAAACAGATCCTGAGAATTGTGTAATGAAATTAAGTGGGAGAGATCGCATTTGAGCAAACAGTCCATTCAGCAGAATGTCATCACATGACTCATAATTTAGCACACGCTCAAACACATGAATCTTTTTCTGGATAATAGGAAATGTTACGTTTTTTCTAATTGCATTTTGTTCAGCGCTGAACCTAATTATGACATGCTGATTCTTGTGATTCTATTGAATTGTTTTATTTGCAGTAATTACTACCAGTTCCACTAAATTTCCAGGGCTGATAGTAGGTGGGTAAATTGTTTCTTTAAGTACATAAGACAAGAAGACATCTGCTTGTTCTCAAAACCCCTTAGGCTCCATGTACATTGCAGCTGATAAACTCGTTCAGGATCATTTCTGCATTTTTTTTCAGCAGCCCCTGAACTCTTCCTAATGTTTTCCTATGTGTCCATGTACACTATGTGGTTTACAGGCAGTTGAGTTTACAGTTGTTTTTTTTTAACACACCAAACTTGCATTCAGGAGTAGATTTTATCAACATTTCAAACGCTTATAAACGCGTGTAAACACGGCTAACCGTGTTTATAAGCGTTTGCGTTTGGAAAATGTTTTTAACTCTTCCATTTCCAGATGCTGTCCAGAGCCTTTTTTCATCATGAAAAGTGCATGCAAAGCGTTTTCCCGGTACTCAAATGGACCTGGTACACCATACTTTGAGGTTTTGCATGAAAGAAAATGTTAGGCTACGTTCACACTAGCCTTGTGTGCAGGCGGCAGAGAGGCGTTTGGGAAGCGTTTTTACCGCTTCCCAAACGCCTCTGCCAATTCTGCACATTACAGCACATGGTGCTGTTCTAACGGGAGCGTTTGCGTCGCGTCGCGTTGCGTGCCTCTGGACGAGTCAGGAGGCTTTGAAGCCTCCTATTCTCGTCTATGGTGCGCTCCGCAAACGCCCGGCCGGCGTTTGCGGTGCGGTTGCGACGCGGTTGCGGGGCGTTTGCGGAGCGGTAACACCACTCAAACTGCATTATAGGCGTTTGTGGGGCGTTATTAACGCTCGGCAAACGCCTAGCAACCGCCGCTAAAATGCGGCGTTTGCGGAGCGTTTGCCGAAAAACGCTCCGCAAACGCCGGACCAACGCTTGCCAAAAGCTATAGGGGCGTTTGGCAATCGTTGGCAAAACAGCCTAGTGTGAACGAGCCCTTAGACACTGCTGCAATAATTTCTGCACAGAAATGAGTTGCAACACATCCAAACACCACAAAAAAAAAACAAAAAACACACAGCTAATCTCAACAAATACTGCTCTCTATGCTTTCTCTCTATTTCTCTCAAAATGTCTGAAATAGTTAATTTTTTTACTGTTTTTCAGCGCATTCTGGGCATTTTGGAAGGTCTCCTGAGGTTATCTTTAAAAACGCTTATAAACGCGGCTAAACAGACATTTTTTTAACTTACGTTTTCCAGCAGTCAGTTTCCATCGTTTAGAAGTGTCCCCTGTACATGGAGCCTTATGCAGGCCATAGACGGGTCATTTATCGACCAAATATTCATCCGAATAAAAGAAATGGCTGATATTCACACCATTAGTGGGGCAATACCGTCGACATTTTTTTCACGGATCTTCTCGTTTCTTTTTATCAGTCATGCTGGAAAATCCACGAAAAACGGACGTTTTTCGTAAGCATTAGTGGCAGCATCCATTTGCAGCAACGACCGATTTTTCGTTTATCGGCCGACAATTTGGCCGATAAACGGCCCGTCTATGGCCAGCCTTAGACCTATCCCTTATCACTTTGCTGATATGCCTGTGTGTTGAAGTGGTTCTTCTTTCTTATGAAAAGATTGGGTCTAATGCCTGCAATGTGCAAAAGTCCCTTGTGCTGCGGGAAACACTTTATTTGTTCCGGTAGTACTTGTTGTAACTCTCTTACAGTAGCTTTAAAATACCTAATCCTATTTTTTTGCTGAGCCGAAAAAAAACCAATCAGAATCCAGAAATGTGTCCAGAAATGCCATTTTGTGTGATGTTAATGCTGTTCTAAATAATATAAATAAGGAACGTCTTCAAAAAGTCCTAAACAGGTATTTGTCTCATTTCTTGAAGTACGTTATTTTCTGAAATGATCAATATTTTTATTGTAGCTGCTCCCCCACCTCGGAAAACGCGTGCTGAACTGATGAAAGATATTGACGCTGAGTATTATGGATACCGGGATGAAGATGATGGTGTGCTGGTACCTTTGGAACAAGAAGAAGAAAAAAGAGGTATTATCCCATTATTAACACCTATGTATCTGTGTAATTTTTTGGGTGCCCTGTCACGATAGGTGAGCATCAAATCATCTTGGTAATATGTAATATTAGAAAAAAAAAAAAGTTCCCTCGATGTACAAATACATCAGTTTTGCATTGGTGCAGGTAATCTGAATCATAATACTGGCTTGTGTTATATAAGGCTTCATGCATACTGGACAGAAACACCACTTTTATGGGTGTTTATTTTTTTCAGCCTGTAAATGCATATGTCCACGCCATCAATAGGTGTTTATAGGTATTTTAGAAGAGGAGCTTTTACAGGCTGAAAAAAAAAAAACCCATTACCAGTGCGCCCAAGAGAAAAGCATTTTGGGCAAATAAAAGGTGAATAAACGCTAGACGTGTTTAGGTGCATTATTGCATTTTAAGGACCAGAATAAATTACTATTCTGGCCGATAGAATACTTGAATGATAAACGTATGCCAACACGCATAAACACTTGTGCAAAATGCAGCTTTTGATGCATTTTTTTAAGCAGCTTTTCTCCTGCAAGGAGGAAGGGTGTTTAAAGGAGCTGAGCAAGCGTTCAGTGTGCATGGGGAATAATACAGACTTTGTGTGGTGAGGTATCATTGAAATATTTCTTAGTTCCACCTTACTGCTGCAGCCATTACAAAATAATGGTGTTCTGTTTTCTTTTCCACATTATCCACACCATCTACAAATTTTTGGGGGACTGCAGTTAAGAGAATGGGTGCTTTGGTGGGGATCAGAGTTAAAACTACTCCTGGAAATCTTTTTTTTTTTTTTTCTGGGATATGTAAGAAACTAGCTGTTATATCATCCCGCCATAAATCCTGTACATATAAAAGGTGATCTTGGTAGGTATGAGGGCAGTCTATGAACTTCACCTGGCTGCTTTAGTGCAGTCTGTGAGTTGGATGGGTTAAACTGAGGTCTACTCAAACCCTGGTTCCTTCTCTGATTCCTCGCTGGCAGTGTGAATGAGTGCTCACTCCTCGTCTGACCACACTCACCATTACTCACACAACATCCCTGTGACTTTCCTTCGATCATCCAGCTTTTCTCCACCCTAATATTACCAAAGGGGGGACCACATCACTGATGTCATTATTGCACTCTGTACTTCGACTATCTTACACTGAAGAACTAGCAATATTTTATAGCTGTTGGGGGAGATATAACGTCAACCAAATTAGTTGTAAATTTTAAGAAACCTGATGTGATCTTTGTAGTAAATGATATTTGTATATTAAATGTTATTTTGCTTATAAACATCTTTCTTATCAGCCATTGCAGAGGCCATAGAAAAATGGAAAGCAGAGAAGGAAGCACGCCTTGAATCTGGTGATAAAAATGAAGAGGAGGAGGAAGTCAATATTTATGCAGTGACAGCTGATGAGGTGAACGCCTTCTTGGTTCAGTAATATCTTTTTTTTTTTTTTTTTTTATATATATCTTAACAGATGATGGTAGGTTTGGGGCACATGACTCTTAATGCTGCCACAGTGCCATTCTTGTGAAAATTGATTGTGGAAAATGTTGTAATACTGGAATCTTAAACAAGTTTTTAGACCCCACCATACTGAAAGTTGTCCCCTTTTCAGTAGTATCTCTTTATAACTTCAACTATGAATGTGATATAGCGTTCTGACAGCATGAAATTCAGCTTCCACAGTGTATTTTTTTAGATGCACTATCTTTATAGAAGAGGGTATCTAAGGACAGCTATCAATTAAATTAAAAAGGGAGAGGAAGCCGGAAAGTTGTGGAAGTAATAAAACTATACAGCACATGACTGAGAGCATGTTGCTAATTTTCTGATAGTTATTGTATTCTTTTATGATTTGACAGCTAAAAGGGTTGGACCACAACTGAAATGTCAGTTCTTGGTATATGCTGCTGGATTGAAATGCAAACTGAATTAATCCCTGAGGGTCTCCAGTGACAAGGCATGCTATGTCTGCACACCTGTTGGGGGCCAGTATAAAAGGGTTTTATGTCACCTATTGGATCCTTTGTTTATTTTAGGTTTTGTAAAATTGAGTAGGATGAGAGGCACCTTACTGAAGATGAGAATTGAAATTGCAAGGTAGAGGAAACATGGCAGTGATCTACAGATGGAAAATATCATCATTGGTGTATCTAAAAACATAGACAAGCTCAAAGGATGGTGCAGATTTACACTTGTGCATGAAAAGTTAGGTTTGGGTGAACTAAACCTTTAAGTGAACCTGTTTCAAATCAGAACAATTCAAGCTAAGCATATGCTGAAAATGGCATAATCAGAGGATACCATCAGTAAAACTTGCATGTCAAAAAGATCTGCAGGAATGGGATATAGGTAGAATAAGTTAGGTTAAAGTGTATGTTACCCCAATATTTCATATTCCTGATACTGTATGTGTCTGTTGTACCATGCACTTGTTTTAAAAAGTATCCAATTATCTTTTCAATGCTTCCTTTGTGTGAAATACCAGTGATCCTGCCAGTCCCCCTGCTTTCCTATTTCAAACTGACCATGCTAGGCATGAGAGCACATCTGTCCCAGTGTAGTAGTTTTTTTTTAATTTGCATCCTAATTGGGAGAACAGCCAGCCTGAAATCCAATGATCCTGGTTTGTGCTGACATGCCCCTCTACACAGGTAATCGCTAGGAAGATCACTGTACTACTGTTTCTCGCCTTCTGCTGTCTCCACTCCACCCCACCCCACCTCCCTAACCCACTTATGCAGCTGAGAACAGAAGTTATGTGATCACTTATAAAAACAGGAAAAAAGGTATACTTAATTTTTTTTTTTTTTAATTTAATATACCGTATACAGTTGTTGTGCCTTGCATTTGTATTTTACACTGAATGGGTTGTTCTACAAGATAAAGGTTCACATATACTTTAAAAGTAATGATTCACACTGCCCTCTCCCACTTGTCAAGTCACTCTAAGTCTTTTAATACGTGGCCTCACTGATTAAAGCTGGCCATAGACCGTTTATTTTCATTTAGTCAGCAGGATGAAGGGAACTGATTTTTGATCCATGTGTGGCCATGCAGTTGAACAGAAGTCGATCTACAGATTGCTTTTCTTTCTTTTGCTTCAGTGCTGATCTGTGTATTGAGAGAGTGGGAGTCTTGCAACTGTTAGAATACATTAGCACAGCAAGGGAGGGTTCTCCCATCCACCTCGATTGTATGGATGGAGGTTTCTGCTCAGTTCGTTTGTTCAGCCTGCTGGCTGAACGAAAAAAACTGAACAGTGTATCACCAGCTTAACCACTTGCCCTCCAGAGAATTTACCCCCCCCCCCCGACCAGGCCATTTTTTACGATACGGCTCTGCGTTACTTTAACTGACAATTGCGCGGTCATGCAACACTGTACATAAATTAAATTTCTGTCTTTTTTCCCACAAATAGAGCTTTCTTTTGGTGGTATTTGATCGCCTCTATGTTTTTATTTTTTGCGCTATAAACAAAAAAAAAGACCGACCAAATTTTGAATTTTTTTTTTAACTTTTTGCTATAAAACATATCCATTGAAAAAGTTTTAAAAAATTTAATTTCTTCTTAAATTTAGGCCAGAATGTATTCTGCTCTACATGTCTTTGCTATAGCATCTACAAATGGTGGCATATATATACTGGATTTTTTTTTTTTTTTTTTATACTAGTAATGGCGGCGATCAGCGACTTATAACGGGGCTGCAGCGGGCATTCTGACACTGGGCGGGAACTGACTAACTGCCACTAACATCCCCAGTGACACTAATACAGTGATCAGTGCTAATAAAAAGCGCCAACACTGTTCTAATGACACTGGGCAGGAAGGGGTTAACATCTGGGTCGATCAAAGGGTTTAACTGTGTGCTGTGTGTGTTTTACATTGTGTGCTGTTTTACTTGGGAGACATGCTGCTTTGTATCTCTCTGCTGTGCAGAGAGATACAAAGCAGCATGTCCTTGCTGACAGGAGAGAGATCTGTATTGTTTACACACAGATCTCAGCCCTGCCGACAATCACCGAGTCATGGCTGGGAATCGCCGGCCAGGACCCGGTGATTGACATCCCCAGCAGCAAATAGCGGTGCATGCCTCTCCCTACCCAGAAATGCAAATCACGTGTGTATATATACATGATGTTGCGCAGCCGTGCCACCCTGTAGCAGTATATCTGCTATAGGGCAGAGGTAAAGTGGTAAAGTAAGGTTTCTATCATATTATAAATGGAGGAGTCTCTGCTGATGGCTATTGTATTCATCCAGCTAAGACACCTGAGGCTGCTTGAATACAGAAGAGTGACTACCTCTGATAGAATTCTATGCTGTCAGAAACAGGATTGCAGGGGGTTTCAGGTATGGTATGAGGAAGTGGAAATCTGCCCATCTATGACCAACCTCATAAGGGTTTTTTTCTCTTTGTGCTTGGAGTGTGTACACTGTATTTTGCAATGCTTAATCTAATCAGAACTTTACTTATCTGCACATGAGTTGCAAGTGGGCAGCTTTGGCTTTTCGCTAAAGCATTGTCATTTGAAAGAACGGGTGGTCCACGTGTTGTGAACATGATAAAAGGTCAGTTGACAAGGAAAGCTTATGATACAAATCATGTGACCTGGACAGAGCAAAATGTAATAAGACCGACATATTGATCATGAAAATGCTGCATGCTTTTGTTGCTCAATATTTGTTGATATCTGTTAGTAGTTAAGCAATGTTTGTGTCTTTTATGTCTAGTTGTGTGTTTCTCTGTCCAGAAACACATATTTTTATTTGAGATATGTACTAATGTCTCTGTGATTATTAAAATGTGTGTATACGTAATGTGTCCTTTAAAGTGTAAGTTCCCCTTCAGCAAGATTTTCCAAAAATCCTTGTATGTAATTCCATAGCCTCAGAATTATACCAGTGCTCTTCCTGTTTTAAATGGTGCACGTCCTTCCATTACAGATGCAGCTTTTGGGGGGCTTTTTCAAAGAAACGCTGGCCTCTCATCCCCCCCTCCACCCTGCCATTTGCAGGACCCGATTAACATAATATTTTACCCTCTAGTCGCTGAGCCATACAGACTGTGATTCTGCACAGTGCACTGTCCATGTTCCAGCTGAGCTCAATAGCAGCCGTTCCAGAATGTTCAGATTGCGCATTGTGTGCGCTCTCCTTCTCTAGCTGAGCTCAGAGAGCACACTGTGCATGAGTGCAGTTTGAATGGCTCAGCTAAGCTCAGCTGGAGCGAGGAGAGCTTACTTTGCAGGTGTGCAGTTTGGACAGCTAGGAACATCTTCTAGGGGGCGCATTATTGTAATGTTAAAGAATCTGTAAACCCAACATTTCATCATCATTATTATTAATATTATTATTATTATACAACATTTATATAGCGCCAACAGTTTGCGCAGCGCTTTACAAAATGAAGGTAGACAGTTACAATACAATTTGGTACAAGAGGAAACAGAGGGCCCTCCTTCTTAGAAAACCAATAAAGTGCTAATAGTGCTTGTGAGCTACCATGGTGAAATTCAATTGTGCTAAATTAAATCAACTAAAGCAAATGAATACACATCCGGTTCGCTGACACTCAGCACCAACTCATGAAATAGTGCTTGTAACTCAGTATAAAAATATTAAAAAATAGTGTCGCGCTCCCGTGAAAAATAATTTAAATATTGAAATATTACCCCTATATAGCTATATCTTTAAATGTGATATAAAAATATACTGGTGTACATGATGAATCAAAAATATCAGATGCTGATCAAATAATATATCAACAAAGTGAACTAGCAAATGAAAATTAACATAACAGTGTGTGTGTATATGTATGTGTGTGTGTATGTATGTATGTATGTATGTATATATATATATATATATGTATATATATATATATATATATATATGACACTATTGACACTTCTTATGTGGAGCACTGTAGGGGATTTTAAGGAGAAATTAGACCCCTGGAGGTGAGAAGGAGGAATCCATCCATCCATAATCCACACAGGGATCGGTGCAGCGAAGAGACACCAGGTGGAAATATAAGAACATTACACTACATCATCCGTAAAGAATTTTGGCACACAAGCATTTCATCTGTCCATATAGGACAAAAAGCTACTTTAGCCTAAAATATCTATTAGGCTAAAAAGGTGAGCGCATAGGAAAATTATTACGGATCCATTTATTGGAGCAACCCCCTTTTTTGAACATATATGTAAAGAGGACTTTATATATATATATATATATATATATATATATATATATATATATATATATATATATATATGATCTCTAGATATATTTTTGGACACTGTTATGTTAATTTTCATTTGCTAGTTCACTTTGTTTATGACATATTATTTGATCAGCATCTGATATTTTTGATTCATCACGTACACCAGGATATTTTTATATCCTCCTCATTGGAGCTTACAATCTAGGAGATTTCATATTCCTCATTTTGATTTGAAACTGAATGGGTTGTTTTACAAGATGAGGGTTTACAACCCTTTTTAGCTCGTCCTGTTAACAGCAGAGGGGATAAGGGGCCAGCGTTTTTTTTTTGGAGAGGCCTTCATATTAACTGCAACTGCAATGGGAGGACATGCACCATTTAAAAACAGGTGGAGCACTTGTTGAAGGTATTCGGTCATTTGAATAATGACCTATCTATTGGTAGCAAATCAAAATCACCTGAACATGCAGAATATGAATGTGGTCAGCTTCATGTAAGTAATGATTAACTTTTCTATGTGTATATTACCTTGGGGCAGCTGCAATATTTACTGAAAAGATCATGCTCTAAATGTGCATTGGGATCCCTATTTATCCTTGTTTTTACTTTTTTGTGTAAAAATAAGGAAGAGGAGACAGGTCCTAATCTTGTGGAAAACAATTGGGTGGACATTTTTGGCTGAACGCTAAAAATCGCTAGTTCCATTGGGAACAGCTGACTTGTATGTTGGCATCCACAGATTTGAGGATTGTTGGACAAGTTCTAGTCTTGCATTTATAGTACCTCTTGCTGTATCCATTCTAAAAAATAATCCACCATATATCTCATCCATTCAGAATAATAGTACAGAGATGTTTGGACTTATTTAGCGTGGTAGTTAAAATTTGACTAACCCAGACAAATGTATTACAAATTACTGTATGGTGTACTGATCTTACTTGGTTAGCAGGACAATTCCTCTTTATGTAATGTAGAATTAAAATATGTAATTTTGTAGAGACAAGATGGCATGGTGCCTATGGATCACATGTTTGAAATGCTTATGTACTGTTCACCAAGTTGATCATTGTATTATGTTTTCCTAAGCCTGGAGACGACAGTGACTCTGACAAAGAAATGGATGAAGGACAGCAGAAGTTTATTGCTCATGTACCAGTACCATCTCAGAAAGAGGTAAGCTGTTTTGAAACAATACCTGTTTCCATTTTGCAGGTACTGAGTATATCACACCCAAATCATTAGATATGTTATGGATGAGCATAATAATGCATTGATTGCTAATGCATCTTAAAAGTCTCCAGTAATGAGATTCCTAGTTATAGATCCTGTTCTATACACACAAGCATACAGTATAACGGCTGTAGGAGGAGTGTCAGTGCCCTATATTGTAACATGAAGTATCAAACCAAGATAGCTCTCTAGCCATTGACCGCACTGACAGTGAGAACACCTTGCCCGCCGTTGTGGCCATTGTCATTTTTCTATGCTTTTTAGATACATGCTTCGTCTGTGAGTATGTTTTTATGATTTAATTCCTACAGTAAACCTTGGATAATGCACTAGGTGTGTGCGCCACCTGTTTTCTCTCTACCAAGATAGCTCTCTACCTGCCTTTGCTGACCATCATCTGAAACCGCTAGTTGCCAGGGTATTATGGTGATCCTTTATCGTCAATGTTTTTTGAGTAATTGACCCAAAGGAAACATGAAAAGTCTTCTCGCTGCATACATGTTCTAGCTTTTGACATGGAAATTTACTGAAGCAAGAACAGCCAGACCGCTATAATTTTGAGAGAACAATAAGGGCCCTAATTTTTTGGTTCCAAAGGGTATATGCTGGTGGGCTTATTCACCCCACAAGTACTTAGTGATTCTAAAGGCTGAAGGTTTTTTTACCTTGATGCATTCTATGCATCAAGGTAAAAAAAACCATCAGTGTGCAGCTCTGCAGCCCCCTTTTAATACTTACCTGAACACGAGAGCAGCAGCTCTCCCGGGATTTTTTCTCTTCATTGGCTGAGACACAGCAGTGGGGGCCATTGGTTCCCACTGCTGTCAGTCACAATCAGTGAAGAGGGAGTGGAGGGTGGGACTGAGCAATGCTTTGTGTGTCCTATAGATGCACAGAGGAAGCTCCGGAGCAAGCACGCATGAGTGCCCTCAGAACAATTAACTTGTTCTGGGAGCACTTGGAAAGGGGGAGGAGCCAGAACAACCGACAGGGAACCTGAGAAGAGGAGGATCGGAGCTGCTCTGTGCAAAATTATTGCATAGAGCAGGTAAGTATGATGTATTATTTAAAAAAAAAACAATCCTTCAGAACCACTTCAACAGAAGGCTAATATTAAATTAAAAGGAGAACTTATTATTTTAAGATATCAAAAAATTATAAAAACATGCTCCACCTTCTAATGGAAATTACCATAGATGTAAGGTGTTGGGTCATGTTCTGCCCATCAGATATTATGTTCTCCTCTTGCAGCTCTTATACATATACTTGCTTATATGTTCACCTGAGTTGGGCAAAAGTAGGATATCTTCTAAAAGTTCCCACATAACCAATAACCTTTACCCTTTTAGCGGTGGGGCTTCCCAAGAATCCTATACAATCTCTCTGGTCTGCAGTTGTGCTGCAATCACATATACAGTGTTAGGCTATGGACTAGTACCTTTAAACATTTTAACAGAATGTCTGAAATCTCTGGTCATTTTTCATATTGCATCTGTATCCCCCTCATCTAAATGTGGCTTCAGAGATGTTCTTATTCTGTCCAAACTAAGGATTAAGTTCTCTAACCTTTGCTTCCTTTTTACAGAGCTTTGGCTCTGTAGGAAACCTACCAGTGATGTTTCACAATGTCTATAGAGCGTTTCAGTAATTTGGTAAATTTGATTTAATTATTTATTTTTACCAATGATGACCAGACACTGAAGGTGAAGTCTGCATGCCCCACTGTCCTTTATTGGCAGCAACACAGTGAAAGCTGCAGTAACACTTGTGCTTTTTTAACCAGTTTCCGCCCAGCCTATGGCCAGATGATGGCCGGGTGAACACTTCGTCCCTCTGAGAAGACGCCATATGCCCGCAGGGCCGCGCTGTGGTGAGATCTGTCACAGGCCGTGTACATCAGACACAACCGATGACAGATCTGTATATGATGATTACACTGTACTGCACTGGTGACAGTATGTAAAAAAAAAAAAAAAAAAAAAAGAAAACATTTTTTTTCATTTCTTAATTTTCCGACAAAAAATTACAACTTAAAAAAAACTCGTCACTCTTATGAAATACTTCGGACTGTCTACTTTGCAAAAAGGGGGTCATTTGGGGGAATATCTGTATTGTTCTGACATTTTTGGGCCTCAAGAAATTAGATTGGCCGTCAGTACTTCAGGATTGATCAATTTTCAGATATATATCATAGTTTGTGAACTCTCCTACAGACTAAATAAATACTGATTTGGGTTATTTTCACCAAAGAAATGTAGCAGAATACATCTTGGCCTAAATTTATGAATTACAATTATTTATTTGCAAACTTTTATAACAGAAGCAAAGAAAAATTAGTTTTTTTTTTTCTTCAAAATTTCCGGTCTTTTTTTGTTAATTTAGCAAAAAATAAAAACCCCAGCGGTGATTAAATACCACCAAAAGAAAGCTCTACTTGTGTGAACAAAGTGATAAAAATTTAGTTTGGGTACAGTGTTGCATGACTGCGCAATTGTCATTCAAAGTGTGAGAGCGCTGAAACCTGAAACTTCCTGGGCAGGAAGAGGGTAAAAGTGTCTGGCATTGAAGTGGTTAAACATATACCGAATAATTGCATCTGTTTGAATGCCTACAATTCCTAAGAAAAACAGTGCTGTGGGTTCCCTGTTGCTGCTGGTCATGTGACTAGTGCCAGGTCAGTGATTGTTTAGCCTTTGCTTAAGTGGTTTGAGGTATTGGCCATTCAACAGCTCTACCCAAATACTGATCTTGAACTTTGGGTGAGACTGTAACAAATGCTGAGGCTGCCACGGTTGGAGGGAACCCAGAACATCATTGTCAGCTGGAACATGTGCTGCATGTGCTCTGTGAGCATACTTGTCATACTTACAATTTCATCTGTAAAACATGGTGGAGGCAGTGTGATGGCATGGGCATGTATGACTTCCATTGGCACTGGGTCATTGGTGTTTTATTGATGATGTGACAGAAGCAGCTGGAATAATTCTATAATGTTTAGAGATACTGTCAGCCCAGATTCAGCCAAATGCAGCAAAGTTGATTGGACGGTTCTTCACAGTACAGATGGACAATGATCCAAAACACACTGCGAAAGCAACCCAGGAGCTTTTGAAGGAAAAAAAGTGGAATATTCTGCAATGGCCGAGTCAATCACCTGATCTCAGAAATTTTTAGGGCCAGAAGAAGCCCTGGGTGCAGAAATCTACCAAGTCAGATTCAAAGATTCCTTCTGAGGGGCGCCCCCACTTGTGTGGGTGGGGGGAAGACTTTTAGATTTTTTGGAGGTCTGGAAGGAGCTGATCCTGGACAAGTGGGTCACTTCTACAGTTGCTCAAGGGTATAGACTGGAGTTCAGGGGAATTCCTCCTCCCTGTTTCCTAAAGTCCAATATATCCACGAATCCATCGAAAAGGAAATCTTTATTTCAGGCATTCAACCGACTTATGTCCCAAGGCATGATTGAGGAGGTTCCAGCGGACTAAATATTTCAGGGATTTTATTCAAACCTGTTCATGGTTCCAAAACCAAATGGGGGCCTTTTCTAGACCTAAAGGGGCTGAACCGGTTTCTAAAGGTTCGTTCATTTCAGATGGAGTCATTCTGGTCAGTAGTTGCAGCGTTACAAGAAGGAGACTTTCTAGCATCCATAGACATCAAGGACTCATACCTGCATGTGCTGATATTTCTCGCTCATCAAACGTTTCTGCGGTTTGCGAAAGAAACTCGACATTTTCAGTTTGTGGCACTACCTTTTGGGCTAGCCATGGCCCCTCGAGTGTTTACAAAGATTTTGACTCTAGTTCTGGGGCTGCTCAGAACTCTGGGAGTATCGGCTTTGGGCTATCTGGACAATCTACTGATCAGTTGTTAGTCTGGTCCAAGCATGAGAAAAAATGTGGCCTTTGTTCATATTCTGGAACGCCTGAGCAGGGGGCTTAACTTCCAGACGTCTGCAGCGGTGCCAGTACAAAGTCAGGAGTATTTGGGATTGGTCCTAGACACAATTGAGGCAAAGGTGTTTCTGCCTCTAGGAAAGGGCCACGTCCTGAGAGATCAGGTTCGGAGTTTGAGGAACAGGAAGTATCCTTCCATACGTCTCTGTATGAGGTTAATGGGGAAGACCATATTCGAGGCAGTGCCCTATGCACAGTTCCACTCAAGACCTTTACAGAGGAATATTCTGTCAGTGTGGAGCAAAAAGATTCCAGCACTGGATTGCTGCATGTCTCTGTCCCCATGGGTGCAGCAAAGCTTGAATTGGTGGTTGAAATCTCAGAATTTGGAAAGGGGAAGATCTTTCCCACCAGTGCTTTTGGAAGCTGATAACCACCGATGCCAGCCTCTTAGTTTGGAGGGCTGTTCTAGAGGGGACCACAGTCCAAGGGACTTGGTCGCTGCAGAAAAAGATCCTTCCCATCAATATCCATAAGAAAATGATTCAGTGTATCTCATCAATATTCTGGAGCTTTGGGCGGTGCGGCTTGCCGTGAGACATTGGACGACCAGACTTCATGGTTGGTCAGTCAGGGTTCAGTCCGACAATGCCACTGAAGTGGCATACATCAACCACCAAGGTGGTACCAAGAGCCGGAGGGCTCAGGAGGTAAATCACATTCTGGCTTGGGCTGAAGGGCATGTTCCAGTTCTGTCAGCAGTATTCATTCCAGGGATAGAGAATTGGCAGGCGGACTACTTCAGTCGTCAGCAGTTGTTTCCGGGAAAATGGGCCCTGCTTCCCGAGGTGTTCTCGGCAATCTGCCAGCATTGGGAGTGCCTAAACATGGATCTATTGGTGTCAAGGTTCAACGACAAGTTAGACAAGTTCGTGTCCAGGATGCGGGACCCTCTCACAATAGGGGTGGATGCCTTGGTAATACCGTGGGACCAGTTTTCCCTAATCTATGTCTTTCCCCCGATTCAGCTACTGTTGCGTCTCATACGCA